TGTGTCTGTATATTGGCTAACATGATGTGAGGAGTAGCAGTGTCTCTAAGTAGATATAGCATCCTGTTCTCAGGAGATTTCTGTGTCATAACTCTTTACAGCCAATACAGTAACCAAGAGGATAAGGAGGTGAAAAAAATCTGCCTCAATCGGGAAGTGGGGAAAAGACTAGCATATTTAGGGAAGTTGGAAACAGTCAGCCTGATAATAGCTTCTGCACAAGAATGCATCTAATGTGTTTTATTTTAGGAAAGTGGAATTACAGATACAGTTTAAAGTGTTTAATATAGCCAGTAAGCTGAACATAATTGGAAGCTAAATATTGCAGCTACAAGATTTTTCACAAATACTATGAAATCGGGAAAGAAAAAGAAGCATCAATAGAGAACAGTGTTACCAGTCGAAAAGGAATTGGTAATGGAATTTATGAATAAATGTACAAGGACCAGAGAATGCTGGAATCGGGTACAAGTTGTTTACGGACCTCTTACAAGCTATTAAAATAAATAATGTGATTAGGGAACTCTACAGGAAAATAAAAGTCATTACAATATGTTTCAATTTTCACGTTGATTGGGCAAAATATGTTTCCAGAGTCCTGCAAATTCAGATATGAGAACAATTTGGATGTTTTAAAATTGGATACAAGATAATAGAGTATAAAGCTGACTGTTGATGATTTATATAAATCATCAGTTAGATCTTTGTCCAGTTTTAGATATCTGTCTTTGGGAATGTTATCAAGACCGTGGAAGAAATTCAGGTATAATAGAATCAGAATATGTAATGTTTCATTAAATTGATAACTGTTTAAAAATAACAAATCAAGTTTGCGGAGGTGTTCAAAGATGAAATAGTAAATGGGGAAAAAATTTTCCATTGATTGGTGGGTGTAACATATTGTGTAAAAGGTGGGATTTCTTGACTGGAGCTTCTGTCCACAGTGTCTGACTCAGATAAGAGGCTGAAGCTTTGCTAATTACAGAACATAAATTTAAGATCAACCTAAATCAAAACGTTATTTGGACCAGTCATACAGATACATTGACTACATGCAGTTCACAGTCTGGGTGTTCTCCAGCGAGTAATTCCTTCCTATCTACACCATCTACAAAGAAAATATGAGTAATACACTGGAACCTTTTCCACAAATCTGGCAGCTCCAACATATACAAGGAGGTGTCACCCTCCAGGACACATTAGCATTTAATACATGATAAACGTTCACTTCTTCAACTGCCAGTCTACCTGGCTGTAGTGTGCCATCGTTGATACTCCATAGCAACTCACGGTTTTTTCAAGAGTACCTTCGTACCTGTGATCATTAATGCATAGAGGGATAAGGGAAACAGTGACATGGGAACTGAAATAACTGCACAGAGGCCAGAATCCTATCACCAAGTCACTCTTTATTTACTCATGCACGGTACACTGTGACTCAGTCGCCTGAACTGAGGAGATTTTTTGTTTCTTTCTTCATTCACGGTAGGCAGCATTTAGTGCCCATCCCTAACTGCCCAGAGGGTAGTTAAGAGTCAACCACTTTATGGGTATGGAGTCACGTGCAGGCCAGATCAGGTAAGGATGGCAGATTTCCTTCCCTAAAGGACATTAGTGAACCAGATGGGTTTTCCCAACAATCGACAATGGATTCATGGTCATCATTAGATCCTTAATTCCAGATATTTTATTGAATTCAAATTCCACCATCTGCCAAGGTGGGATTCAAACCCTGGTCCCCAGAACACTATCTGGGTCTCTGGATTAACAGTCCAGTGATAATACCACTAGGCCATCCCCTCCTTGTTTGTATTGGTCAACCAGAGATTCCTGATTGGCCTGGGTTAACAACCCCGATCAAGGACCTCTTAGTCCAACAAGGTCCACCTGATTTCAATCGCTACAAGAACAACCAGTCTCCCTCCAAGTTTCTCATGCTTTTGACTTGAAAATATATTGTTGTTGAATCAAAATCCTGGAACTTTTATAGAGCAGACTATGGGTGTATCAATACCAAGTGAGGGCCGCGTTACATGAACAAATAAAAAAAAGTAAAAGAGTACGAAGGGGAATGTTTAAAAAAAGTAAAGGAGTACAAAGGGGTAAGAAACAGGAACAAAAACAGAGGTTATTAGAAAAGCTCAGCAGGTCTGGCAGCATCTGTGAAGAAAAAAATCAGAGTTAACGTTTCGGGTCTGGTGACCCTTCTTCAGAACTGTGTACAAAGGGGTGTTGTTTTATATGCAGCAGCTTATAAGAATGTGGAATAACCTCCCAAAAACAGTACTCTTAAATTACTCTTATCAGAAAATTGAATACAGGAGGTCCTTGATTTACCCATGTCTAACTCGGGAACGCTTGTACTTAGAATTGTGATTCCTTACAGGGGTGTAATTTTAAAGATATGACATGAGCGTTTCCTGTACTTATGAACAACTACATTATATTGTCCTGCATTGAGTTCTGACTTGTATACAAATTGACTTTCAAATGGACTCCAGAGCAGAACCCGTTCACAACCTGGGGACTGCCTGCAAATATTTGAGAAAAATATGGGCATGATGGATTGTTATTTTTGAGTGCTAGTGAAAATGTAAAGAAATGTGACATCTATAATTTAATGACTTGTGATCAGGATCAACTGTTTTCTTTCTTCGTAGCCCATGAATCCTGAAGACTGTGCCCAAACTGTTGCCACAGCTGAGATCAGCTATACAAAGTTTTAATAACAAGAATTCATATCCCATATTCTGTTAAAAGGTTTCTAAAATCACTTAGCTTACATAAAAGTTGTATCAAAATGACATAACACTCAAAGAGGATAATGGGTGGGATATACTTGATATATCTGTATATCTGACTGATAAGTTGCTGTATTTAGACCGAGGCGTTTGTTTAAGCCTTATATTTATCTACAGATTCCAAGATAATTAGTTACTGCTTACTTTCATTTGTTAGACTACTTTGGTTATTAGGAAAATTGGTATTGTTAGACAATATAATTATTTATTATAAACGTAATTTGTTTTAGGCATAGTAACAAGATCCAGTTAAAGAGAGATCATTCGATCTTTCTTTGAAATCTGGCACCCAATCAGCAATATCAAATTTGCAACTTTTTAAGTTCTTGGTTGATGGGATGACCCCAAAGGTCAGTTATCTTTGACCATTCCTAGTTGAACTGAGAAGGTAGTAGTGGGCCTTTATAAAAATACTTTTACTGAGCTAACTGGGTTGTTGGGCCACTTGAGTCAACAGTGTTGAGTGTGGAGGCATATATATTGTAGGATAATAGTAGGTTTCCTTCCCTACAGTGTTTAATGAACAAGTTTGTTTTATGTTGATACCAACTTTTTTATTTACATATTTATAACCAAAGTTCAAATTGTGGTAGTATTTGAACTCCTCTTGGATTACTTATTCAATCTACTGGATTATTATTCTGTTAATATCACACTACACTACAGTTGCATTGCCAGATTTGATATACAAAACAAATATCTTGAGTGCTGTAAAATATCAAGTACAGATATAGCAAATTAATTGCTCAAGCCTAACTATGTAGTTGTCTTCTAGCGTTTTTGCAATTGAAGATTACAAAGATTTAAAAGAGCTTTGCAGCGTAACTGCAACAAGGAATAGACTAATATTTTAAAAATTAAGTCTGAAAGTCATTGGGGAAAAAATTTTGCAGTATTTTCCTTTGTTTAAGCTGTTCTGATAATAAAAGCATAATTAGATGTTGCTGACTAATGGCTTGAAATGGCTATTGAATCCAGTTACATAAGGCAGCTGAATTAATATGAACAGTTGAGATTGGTAATTCAGATACCACATGGTCTGAATCATATGTCTGCACCAGAAAGCTTAGAAATAGTGAATATTTACAAAACAAGCAAATCATCAACATTTAAATAATGTTAACAGTTTAAAATTTAACATTGCTTTCAGTGAATTTAATGCATCATTAAGTTCCCATAAATATGATTGATGAACTTTGGTTTGATGTGTGCATGATTTGTGCTTTTTCACATGAAGAATTAGTGCTACATGCTTTACTGCATTGTTTAAGCCTTTTCTCCTAGTTATGACAAAACAATAAGGCATTCATCAGTCTGAAAAACATGATGCAACAGGTCAAGTATTTGTTGTTTTATTCTCTCACTCCTGTAATTAAAATTTATCTTAGAACCAGTTGTTTTAGCATCGACAAATAATTTAAAGTTCTGTTAATAGCTCCAACAAAATAGATTGGAACTAACAATCAATAGAACTGTGACAATGTGGTTAGAGACCGAAATGGGATTGGGATATACTTGGGATAGTTAGCTTCTTCAAGCCAGTTGTTTACTTTGATTTCCCCCACCTACCTCCTTTTGATGCCATTCTATTTGCCTTTTAAAAAATTAACTGATGATTTCTTGAATATTTAATGTTGATCATAATTTGTGACATTTGATTTGCTGTATGAGTGAAGATTCCACAGGTTATTAAGCAATCAGTATTGTTGGTTGTACAAAGTGCTTAGGTAAAATTTTGTGTAATTATTTGGTAACCTCCATGCTGAAATATGTATTTGTGCATTATTATTTTTAATTATGCAACTATATTCTTTGATTAAGAACATACACAAATATTTTTATTTCTTAACTTTTTATTATTGCAATTTGTAATGTATTCTGCATCGTTTTTAATCCAAGATTGAAAATAGGGTAACTAATTTTGGGCAATTCTAAGATAGATTCATTTAATTTGCTACTGTTTAAAATAAGCAAGGAATAAAAAAGGAAAATCCTTATGAATGCTTTTAAGACTGATGTCATGTTCTTGAACAAAATATTGCAAATGTCCTTTTATACACAAGCCCTGAGCATTTGAAAATGCTGAATTTAATCTTTAACCAAGAAAGTAAGACTGTGCAATGAAATATGTAATATTCATGGCTATATGTTGTATGAAAGTTTATTTGTGAATTTTTCTTGCTCTTTTGTAAATTACAGCAACGAAATAATTGTCTGACAGAATCCAGAAGTCTGAGTGTCAGCCATAACGACCTGACACGCTGTGGATCAACATTTGGAACGAACTAGACCCACCATGTGGAAGAAATGTGATTGTCATTGCTGGAATTTCTTAATACTTTTCAAATTAAAATCGTGAAATATTATACTGTACAAATTCAACAGAAGTTTTTGATATTGTATTAGAACACAAACTATGCCTTCTTATATTGTGAATTGTTGTGATGCAGTAGGAGTTGAAAATATATACATTATGCCATTAGCATCAAAGAAAATATGTTTTAAAGAACAAAATAAAAATGCCACAGCTGAGCTGGTTTTAGATATGTGGGTAGAAACTACAATTGTGATACCATTTAGTGTGACTTAATTTGTACAGCTAAGTTCATCCTTCCTTGCTTGTTTTAAAATAGGGTCTCCTGCAAACCACTTTATTAGCTATTTTCAATAAAGGCCATTTTACCTTTTTGGCATCTCATATAGCTTATATGTGCCATATGTTTGTCATTAAATAGTTGAGTAGTCTGGTGTATCAAATAATGTGTTAGTGAGGTCAACAGATCATTAATTAATAATACCTATCTAAAAGAGAATTCTGAGGTACTTGTACAATGTCCCTATTCTTTGATTGAAGATATACCATGAACTTGCACTATATAATCCCTAGAATCAGATAGAAACAATGCTGCTAATGTGTATGGAGGTCACTTTTATTACAAAACTGTTTTTATAATACCTCAATCAACTATCCAACATAATGTTACAAAACCAATAACTGAACGACAAAGCATGCCAAATTTAGTCTTTTTTACTATCCAGATTACGGAGACTGAGAATTGTGGAACAATTATGCTTGAATGCTACTTGGATGGAAAAAAAAAACATAGAATTGAATAGAACTGGACCTTAAGTACTTTTTTCTTAAATTGGCATTCTATTTGAAAGAACTAAACATGATACATTTTTGAAATTACTGATGTATGTACAGGTATGTTAATTTGGTGATGGTCAGTGAGACTGCAGGAAATGATAAGATTACGCAGACATCTTGAAATTTACAAATTGAAGGCCTTTATAGATAACTTCATCTATCATTGTCTCATTGTTTTGCACTTATGTACATAGTTAGCCTGTCCCCTGTGTAATAATTGTCCTGTTTGGGCAGTACCTGGAGTACTACTTGTCTGCTTTCAAAGTGGTTTTATGAAGCATGTTTTGTCTGTTTTTACTTTTATATTTGTGTACTAACAGAAAATGTATTTGCACATATTAAAAATGAGGATGATGAGAAATAGGATTACATTTGAAGATTTAAATCATGCAAGTTTGTAAAAATGGAGTAGCCAGAAGACATTATGTATATAGATGCTCCATGACATTAAAAGGTTTACGTGTGGTTCTACAAACACTTGTGAATTTTTAATGAGTGCAGCAGCTGTTTAAAAGTGTCACAAGTTGAATTCTGACTACATTAGTTAGTAGATTCTGTGCAATATAGCAGAACAATGGAAAGTGATGTTTGTTCAGGCTACTAAAATTAACATCAGTCGTAGCTGCCTATAAATTATTTACAAACTTCGCAGATTTGTGAATTTATTTAATACATGTATTCCAAGCTGCAGCCTCTAATCCATAAATGAACTATATGCCACCTCATGTTAATATAGTAAAATCCAATTCACGGGTGCTGTGATTACAAGACCAATTATGAGGACAGTGATTTCTGCAGGTAATGAATATTAGTGTTGGAAGAGAGATTGTTTAATAAGCTTAGCTGATGAGTTTGCATCCAGTTAACAAATGTTTAATTATATATTGCACTTTCATTAAGACTAGTCTGTGTAGCCTTGACATTGCATGTAATGTTTTGATATAACTCACCTGGAAAAGTTCAGAGTGCTACCAGTAAGCAAGTATGTCATTCAGAATGGAATATACTGTATTATTGTCGTAAGTTTTCTTACGAACTGAAGACTTCTGCAATGTTATATTAGTTATGTTTGGCCTATGTTACAATATTTATGTCCAAAATTTATGAAATTTGTTTTTGTGAAATAAGTAGTAAGAAATAAAAGCAATTTAAAAACAAACCTTTGAATAAACCTAATGAACAAAGTGTTGCTGAAAGCAAACGAATGATGGTAAGTCATTTTATTCAAACTTGTTATTGGATAGAGCTATATGTTACAACCTAGTCATTTTAATTGTTCAATCTGTAATTTTTCATTTTCTACTTGTATCTGCTCTTAACACATTATTTAAGAGATTATTTGTTTTAACCAATTTCTGTCACTTCTGTTATCTCTCCTTACATTTCATTCCTGTCTTAGCTGATTTGCAGCTGAAGCCCTCATCCATGCCTTAATACCTCCAGATATCATCATTCCAACATATTCCTGGTATCTCACATTCTATCCTTTGTAAACATGAGGCAATCTAAACCTTAGCTACCCATATCTTGCAGCGTTATATTTCTCTGTCACCCATTTGCTGATCGACTTGATTTTAAAATTCTCATCCTTGAGTATTACTGAAAGAGGACACATTTTTTCAAAGCTTTTCATCTTTCATTCATCAAGACAGTTTGCAAGAATGTTAATTTAAGGGGAAAACGGACATTTATACCACGAGTGTGCTGATTGATTGGCTAGTCAAGTCTGATTGAGGCAATGTCATGAATAATGCACCAGTTAATAATTGATAATTAACTGTTAGGTTTGTTAAATTTTAAACCAGGAAGATTGACTCGTCAGGGCATTTCCTTGACAAATGAACGTGTGAATAGCTGTCACCTATTTTCTTAAATGGAAACAGGTGCAGTACAAATTCATTTTCTTTCTCCTGAACAATGGGACTCTGTGTACTAATATACATAGCTCCTAATGCATATACACACATGCACTATGCACTATTCTGTGATCTTGACTGACAATCCTAAATTGACGAAGTATAATTTGTCTGTCACTCAGAATTATTCAGTAAATGATGTCCAATAGAGTCACATCTAATATTGGACTCTGCGGCTTTTGCAGACATGGGCTGGTTGGGTATGGGTAGCACCTTGTTTGTTGCAAACATCCAAAACGATACGTTACTTGATGTAATCTACCATTCTTTAGGACATACAGCCTACATCCCTGGCATCACAGTGGCACAGAAACTCATGTATCGCAAGGTCATTTCTGTGGTAAGCAGGAGTCTTATTGACTTGGCAGCAGCATCCTATTAGTGAACATCACTCCTGTTGGTACTAGATATTAGTACTATGAAACAGCTAGCTTTATCTGGTGCTCAAAGCTTTGATATGTCAACGTAATCTGAAGTAACTGTGCCCTTTTCAGAACCAACAGTGATTGTGCAATCTCGTAATAGGCAATATACAAGTGATTATCTGATCAACCAGTTATCAATCTGATTATTCCACAGGATGGCTTTGATGCATCCAATTTCAGCATCAGATTTACAGGTTAAACCAGTGCCTTAGGCTCTATATGAAAGGTTGCTGATAAGGTCAATTTCATAGTGCCTGGAACTGTAGGAATTCCAACATGTGTACTATCGACCCAATAGGTTTATGATGGACATTAGTGGAGAAATCCCTTGTTGATTTTCCAACTAGGATATAGAGAAAAAGGAGCTTGTTTAACTGGGAGATAGCAAGAACTGCAGATGCTGGAGTCAGAGTCACAGTGTGGAGCTGGAGGAACACAGCAGGTCAGACAGCATCAGAGGAGCAGGAAAGTCCATGTTTAGGTTCTGAAGAAGGGTCCTGACCCGAAACATTGACTTTGCTACTTCTCTGATGCTGCTTGACCTGCTGTGTTCCTCCAGCTCTACACAGTAACTCTGAGCTTGTTTAACTGTTCCATTTCAAATTCGAATTTAAACACAGGATGGAGCCTATTTTAAAATAAGGAAATTCTTGGCATGCAACTGCTGATCCAACTATAGTAAACGTATCATCTGCATGCTAGGAATATGCAAAAGTAGGAGGTTAGCTGTTATTTTAATTTCAGTCGTGCTTCCCATGGAACCCAATAAAGATCTTTACAAGCTCTGGGCCCAGGAGGGATCTGATGCCAACACCAGTTATCTGGGAATTTGTGGTGTAATTAATACTGAACTCAATTGCACAAGTTGCTGGATTCTTAAGTTCAGCGAATACTGGTTTTCACAACAACGACAGGTTTAGATCACCATGATTTAGTGCTGCAGAACAGGTACACATGTTTTCCTTGGGTGATACATCAAATTAACACATGGACACTGAATTGCTATTGATACACCTGGCAGACATTTTTTAAAAATCATTCATTGTACATTCTCCCTGGCAAGGTCTTTACCAATCATTCCACTTGTCAATCAACATTCTCCTTTCATGCAATATAAATATTGATTTTCTCCTTGAATTGGTATCTTTTGCAAATTATCCTGACGAATCCAAGATAAAAAGCTTTGACAACATATCTTCTTACAGCAATACTCAAGTTCTGCATTGTCATCCAACCTGGTTTTCAACTCTGTCCATGCCATGACCCATCCCTACATCTGTACTCTTGACTAACCCCTTAATCCATGAGATAGCTATGCGTTTTCTAATTCTAACCACTTGTGTGTTCCACCATTGGTGGGCATATCTTCAGGTACCTTAGCCCAAACAAATTTCTTCAAAGCACTTATTTTCATACAGCTGCACAGCATTGCATGGAAGGATCAACAAAGCCTTAGTATTCCAACAATTGTAATAAAACTATCCATTTGTGGTTCTGTGTTATGCGTTGTTTTGTAATGCTTAAGTGAAAAGCTGCTGTATAAATATCCGTTATTACTAAGGAACAAATTGGATGCCAGTTGTGAAATTACACCGGTGCCTAGTTATTGAAGTTACCCAGCTTTTCAGTGACGTTCGAACCCTTGCTGATTTTTAAAAATGTTTACTTTTATTCCTTTAACAATTTTGGATGGGAGCTGTGAACTACGAAGCCGAAGATTACTTGACTTTGGAAAAGAGTTTGTGGTAAAAGGAAAAGAACAGACCAAACAATCTTTGTTTATTTGTGAGGCCAGGCCTAGAGGTTAATTGCAGGCTGATATTTAATTTAAAAAGTTCCTATGGAGACAGTGACCTCAGGAAAAGTATTGTGTTTAAACAGGTAACAGAAGTTGGCTATTAATGAGGTTTGTACCTGAGAATTTATTCCGGCAGGTCTGGATGAGACAATACATTTAAACAGAGATAACAAGGTGTAGAGCTGGATGAACACAGCAGGCCAAGCAGCATCAGAGGAGCAGGAAAGCTGACGTTTCGGGTCTGGACCCTTCTTCAGAAAATGAAGAAGGGTCCAGACCCAAAATGTCAGCTTTCCTGCTCCTGTGAATCTGCCTGGCCTGCTGTGTTCATCCAGCTCTACACCTTGTTATCTC